CAGATAATCATCAAGATCATGGGACCCAGTGCCACCCGGTTGGCTGCAGTTCCGATGGCAAATAAGCCGATCAAGCAGATCACAAGCAAGTAACAGCCCACAGTAATGTGCTGCAGGGCGCGAGCGTAAGCCTTGCCCTGGGTGTCTATATTGGCGTTTGACACGTAGAGCATGTTGTACCGGTAGGCGAAATAAAACAGGTACAGACCAATGGTCGCGAAACCAAGCACCAGCGGAGCGATACACGAGTAGGTGATAGCTATCCCCAACGGGTCGACATCGTTAGCTGCAGGAAACCAGAATAATAGCAACAATTACGAGGCCTTACCGATGACTGCAAGAAGGGTCAAGGGAGGATAGACGGTTCCCCAGCCCAAACCAGCGAGGGATGACCAGCGATTGTACATCTTCCGAGGTGTAGAATCCAGCAATTTGCCCAGAATCTTGCCCAAGATCAGGCCGGTGATCTGAAGCAGGGCACCGGAGCTGAACGAAAGACCCTGTAGAACGATATAGGAAATGTAGAAGTTGGAAGCCTTGGGGATGTTCGTGGCGAGGAGCTGCGCAGCAGAAGTAGGTTGCTGGACAATCCGCGTGGCGACGCTAGTCGCCGAGGAAGCCAGGGTCACAACCAGGAAGACCTGAACCACTTGAAAAGCGAAGTAGAAATTCTGTGTAGTCAGCTCAACAGCTGCCGCGCTAGGCGCGCCGCCGAGCTTGGCCATCACTAAAACGCACGATCAGTACAGTTCCGTAGTCGCGTTGGCTTTAGGAAGACACGACCTACATCGCAGAATAATGGGCAACAGAGCCATGAGCACAGACATCAAAACGGTGGGCAAAAGACCAGTGATGACACCCTTGATCCAGCTGGGGACATCGTTGATGAATCTGAGAAAGTGAACCTTGTTCGTTAGGGAATCGATGTTCGAGATGGAACCGACAACAGCGACGGGGATGGCCCAGAAGACGATGAGAGCGCAGACAAATCCAACTGTGGCGGAATAACGGACGATGCGCTCCCACCATTTGATGCGCAAGTTCGACCAAATGACCTGTGTAGGGTCCAGACCAATGTAACGCGGGGCCATGTGCAGAGGCAGATTGTGAGCGACTGGCAACATTTGCTAGTTAGCATTCAAAATCACCTAAACTTCGTGAAATTAATTTCCCGAGACGTAACATACCCGACTGGAAGGCAGATTGTGCGTCTGCTTGAGCGTAGAATTCGACAAAGACGGATGAAACCAGCTTGACATCGCCCGCACGGTGCTTAGCCTGGAGCTCTTCGATTTCCGGGCTGAGGCGCTCAATCTCTGATCTGGCCCAGTTGATCGTATCAACTTTCTTTCCAACAAGGAATTTCAGACGGTGCGTTGGTCTGTCCGAAGGCTTGACCCAGCGAGCTGCCACAGAGCCCGATTCATCATCTGGTTCATCAGACAAGTTCTCGAGTGGCACAGCATCATCCTCAACACTTCCTCCTTTCTTCAGGGCTTTGGCTCGCGCAGCGTTCGCAAGCTTAATCAGTTTCGTTTCGGCGGCTTCCAATTTCATAGCGGCAGCATCCCGTTCCTTGACCTTGTCCTCTAGCTCACTGGTGTCGGTAGCGATCCAAACGTTTTTCACCTTTTCAATGCCGAACATTCTCCGAATCTTGTCACGGTTGAGATAGTCTTCAGTCACAGCCGTGAAAAGAACGGTCCGCGATGAGAGTCGGCTGGCATACGCGGGAGAGAGGGAATACGCCTGGCGCAAGTTGATATAGAAAATGCCCTCACGGGTGACAGTCATGAACACGAATCCTGCCACTCAATCAGAACCCGAGACAAAGCGATAGTGAAATACCATTGCGCAGAGATTACTGACCGACGAAAATCCAAGCGAGGATGGCGTGGGCAAAGTAGCGAGCATTCTTATCCGGTGAAATGTTGGACATGCTCAAGATGTCCAATTGTTGTCTGTTAGCTCCTCCTGTCGCATTGACAGGAAACAATATGGGCCAGGTCATCAAGCAGCCGACAAAGCAAATGACTGAAATCAACTTCAGGAAGCGAAGCAGAAGATAGGCGTCCATAGAATGATGTTGCAAAACGAATTCGTCGGGCACCTTGTACATATCGATAATCCAATTCCACAGGCCAGTGCCAACGGAGGGACTGCGTTCCGAGGGGCGCAAGAAACCGAGATAGGTTCGGGGCATGTACATGCGACGTTCGCTTCGCCGCAGAATCACGAAGACCAGAACCATGATGACAGCTACCACTAGGGCAGGAACCAAAGTGGTGACCAAGCTAGAAGCTGAGTTGGACGTATTTTGGGGGTCGTCATCCTAGAAGGCGTCAGTCCGTGTTCCGTTTAAACCCCAGGGTGAATTGCTATCGCAGTCCTTCGCAGCTCCTTGTACTTACCGCGCGACGGGACAGCTGGTGCAGACCAGCCATAGCATCGTCGAAGCCCATTTTGATTCTGTCGACTCACTCCCCAGCGCTTGGGGGAGGAATTGCCGAGTCGACCTTTAGTTTACGCTGTGAGCGGTCAGGAAGTGGGAGCTGTTTGGAAGTTCCAAGCATCCAAGATGCAATAGGGCGCGACAAGCTACCGCTGCTCGGAAGGAATCGAGTCACACAGCGAGAACAACCGAGAAATGCTAGATAGAGGAGGGAAGGAAAAATTAAGAAAGACCTCGGGCGAGAGGCCTGTGAGAAAGAAATTTCGACTACGGAGGTAAAGGGTCAAAGGAGAGACGAAAAGACCAAGGAACCGAAGCTTAAGGGGAGAGGGGGCAAGCGATACGCCCAGCGACAGCGTCGACGTCGGAGTCCTCCACACAAAGTTTAATTGGGTCAGGAGTCAGGACTCAGGAGTAGTAGTAATGATGAAAACAACGAGATCGGGGAAGCGAAAAAGATGTCGAACCAGAATCACTTGCGTGCATGCCAATTGATGCACGAGGAATGGAGAATTTGGTATCCCTCGAGTCTCAATAGCGTAAACTGCCAAAATAAAGAGGAAAGGAAAGCCGAATTCGAGCGAAGGGAATCTCTGAAGCAAAAGAAGGTACACTCCAACCCAAGTTCCAGGCTTTGAGCCACACTGGGATTTGAGAGCAAATCTGCGATGAGTCGATGACCGGTGGGGAGGAAAAAAGACCTGATCTTTGGGACGGAGGGATGAATCGATGGATGACGATGAAGGCAAATTCAGCTCCACACACAGCCTGCACAGGACTTTGTTTAGACTCTAGACTACCTTAGTGCTAGCTGAAACCAAAACTGATACTTACAGCTTGCAGCGAGCATGGATGACCTAATTTACTGATTAGATTCCTACATATTACTCCACCCTCCATAATGAGATCGCAATATGAATCTATCCGTCCATCTGTCTCATAAGATACCTTTAGCTATCTCATCAGTCTCTTGCATTTTCTGCAGTGCCTTGAGCAGCAAATTCTCAGTTGCAATCCTGGTTCACTAGCAAGTCTAGCACCAATAGTGCCCAGCTGGTGATATCTTTTACTTTGCTAGCGCTAGTACTTTACCAGCTTGGTCGATGGGCTTGCTGCATTCCTATTGGTCGATATCTAGCTGGGCTGATGACTTGGCTCCACTAGATCTGGAAGTGCGCCCCACTTGCGTAGTGATGAATTCAATCTGTGGCAAATTTTTGAGGCCGCCAGCTCAGCTCCTTGCACCTAGGTACCACCTCAGGTACCTACATATCATGGGTATGGTACCTTACTGTACCTCTCTCTTCAGGAACAAATGCCACATTACGGAGTACATTTATTCTGATCATCTCCTGACATTCAAGGGGCAAAGTCAAATGCTGCTTTCATCTCCAAGGACCAGACATGAATCCCAAATCATATGAAGATCGGCAGGTTTGTTTCTCGGCATGGCTGGTTCATGATTCGAGACCTTAGGTACTCCGTACCTATCTAAGTATCAATTTCAGAGGGAGCAGGGGTGGTTACCAATTTACCATGCGGGACGGTAAGTATCGCGATTTCCTAAAGCAGTGAAGTTACCTCAACCTAACCAACTAACTACTTTAACCTCGGGTTACCACTTACCAGTTACCAGGATAGCATTCGGTCTCACCAGCCACAGTTCATTAGACATCATTATTGCCGAGTTATTTACCTACTACATCATGCAGAGCGATACCTACGTGCCCATTGATATTTGATTCTCATCCCTGGAAATCAAGCTTATGTACCAATTGAAGTTCACTTGAAGCAGGCCTCTGCCTATTTCGAAGAGAAACTCTAGCAAAGTAATAATAACAATCCTCATGCGCCCCATCAAAATACGCAGTACGTAGCTGCATGAACATCAGCCTCATAGAATCTTCACCTAATAAAGGTGTACTTCGGGTCACAAGATTTCTCCACCCAACGACCCATGGTCCGTTCTGCAGCAACGATCTATGAAGATTAGAGTCACGGTCAAATGGAGTCTTACTCGGTGGATGCCTGGATGATAGGATGATCTAGTATCAGAACTAACCAGAAATAGATGACGCTTACACCAATGGAATTGATATTTCCCTCTCTTGTATGTCATTCTCAGTGGCCCAGGGATCCACGTGTGGTATGAGAAATTCCTTACTGTACATCACTGAATGTCCATGCGCCATTGTTTGAAGATTCTGATGACTTGCACACAGTCACACTCACTGTACCTCTTCGAGCAAACCTTGCATTGCCAAGATATAAACCGAGGTATGTGGCGCAGCAGCAGTGGCTTGTAGATGTAGCTTGCATTGTTGAAAAACGCATAACGCATAAAATGAAATGGAGCAACGGGAAGTCAATCGGAGTAATTGTTCAAGCCTCTACATAGGCAAAAATGGGATGAGCACGGCTGCCCGCAAGCCGGAGCCCACATCCCTAGGCAAGTAAAACTTCGTGCCTAGAAAAGTATATACTAGGAGAAATGCATAGGTCAGATCACCCAGGACCAGCTGTTCAGTCAACAATCGCGTGCGAGTTCTCAAAGCTGCTCCAAACTTTCAGGTGCAGCGGCGTTGAGCTCCTCTTCAAAAGCATCAATACCGCGGACAGGCGGCGTGAGCATCAACAAGCTCAGTAGTATTTCATTGAATTGGAATTGTAGGTCCGGCCGAAGTTGTTTGTGGGTCTTCAATAGCTCGCCGGTAGACCATGCTCGTTCGGGATCCCTCATATCTGATTCGTATCCTTCTTCCAGTAAGAGCCACACCAAAGTCTCACATGCAGGATAACGATCAAGCTGGTGCTGCTTCACAACCGTGCTGATGTGGCTGATAAAACGACTCGTTTTGCTCGGCGAGTCTTGGAAATCCCATAAAGCTGCCGTGATATAGATGAGTGCCGCAGTACGGCAGACCTCCTGGCTCGGTGCATCCCGCACCACATATAGGCGCGAAGTCTGCGGCACTTGTGATGGGCGTGGCCCGCTGGAAAGTAAAGGGAAGAGTGGGCTATCCATCTGAAACGCCTCCCGTCGCGAGGGAACAGACGACAGGTATGCATCTGATTTGTGTTTATGCATCATTTCCTCGGCCCCGCGAAGAAACGTGAGCAGCCACCGTTGACCGACTTTGTCGACGGTTGAGTGGGAAGACATCGCAACATATAGCACATAATGCAAGAATACGTGGACACCATTGCGAGACCCGGCCTGGGATCGAAGAATCTGGACAGCCTGGTCCGCATATTCTTGGGCCTTTTGTTGGCTACCAAATCTTTCTTCTTGCAGCGACAATCCTGTCAATGCCATGGCGAGATTGTCTCCATCAATGTCCATCAACCCTTTTCTGATCATCTCTATGCTTCGCGTGGCTTGTCCAATATGTGTTCGAATTTGTCGGCTATCCTTCATGTTGTAAATTTGAGCCTTCCATCGGGAACAATACCCAAGTACGACCGCTTGGAAAGGTAATGGGTGCACCATGGCGGTGCGGAAAATCTGGTCCTTAATGTGTTTATTTTGACCAGACCAGTATGTGAGTTTGTGTGTCCAATAATCTATCAGCTCAAGATCGTCTTTTGGGCAGACCATCGGTAGACTGTGGAAAGGGTCTTTCCTGGATGCATCAAGCGAGGTGATGGGCGAGGTAAGAAATGGTGTATTAGACGCACTGAATGACGGTCTCGTCATGGGAAAGCCCGTCTGAATCTAGATGTCATACGTTAGCGCCCTCGCTTTCGTTTGTAAAGACCAATGCACATATCATACGATGATTCCTCAAATGTTCACATCGTACATCACGCAAGATCCGCTCAACGAACTCAGAAGTGATGATCACCTACCAAGGCGTTACCGTGAGACGCCGTCTCACTTGCAATTCCTCGATCCTTATCGGTTCCGTCAAGATCGCCTCTTTCGTTCGTCTTCTGCTTCCATGAAAGATACCGAAGAGGTCGGTTATTCCTTCTATCGTCTGTGTTATGGGCGTGTAAATGTTTGTGCTGCCTTCGCTTTTCCTGGACGTGGTGGCGCATGACATATGCCCGCTTCTCCCGCGATGAAGAATTCGAATCAACAAAGAAGAATATCCGATCTTTCGCAGGCTGATCTTCTGTTGTCGAGAGACGCCTCCGCCTTTTTGATTTCGCAGAAGGTTGTGCGCCATCTTCGGGGCGGGCTGTCGACGAAAAAGTAAAGGTCAGCTACCTCAGAAGACTTCGAGCAAAATCTGCAGCTGGAGGGGTGCACTGACTTGGCTGGCCTTCGCAAGAGGTGTCATTTACCCCGGTTCGTGGTGCAAACTGCGACAGATTGGGCGGAGCGTGCCTGTGTGCAGACATCACGAGCTAGCGGGTGGCAGTAGACTCTTTTGATGACTGACGTACTGAACAAGCAAGGATCTTGTTATGACAGCATAGCGGATTATGCGATTTACCGGGATACCGTCACCACGAAAGAGTAATGTTGAAAGAAGTCATCGCAGAACCACAGCTTCAGAGAATCCAGACGATGTCATAACCTTGCCGATCAAGTCATCGTCGAGGATAGGAACGACCTGGCGATGATCAGCTCCCGACGATAAGGGTCGACCCCGACTTGCCCGTTCTTATGATGGACGAGGAGTTGAAGGACCAGCAGGGCAGTGGGTCGTAAGAGGGGACTAGGGTCAACTAAGAGCCCCCGATAGTCCAACACCAAAAGTCAAGTTGATTCTGAGGCGATATTTCGATTGGCTCGTCAGAAAACCAAAAGCCGGAATAATCATTTTTGTGATGCGCTATTGGCTGAAGAATGCCAACTACTGGCTTCCATTCCGCCCCTGTTATCGCCGAGTGGGCTCCAGGACCTATTTCCAGAATAGGCAACAGAGAGGCCTGCTGTGGCAGAGGTCCGTGCACAGCCGCTGATGTAAGCATACAGAAACCACTTTACGCGTCGGCACCGCATTAACTACTTCTCCGCTGCGCGTCGCGTCTTCGACGCGTATCTTTGAGAGAAGAAAGTAACTATCGCTGAAGCAGACTCTGCGAGGGGATCATTATTGACGCTATCAACAATTCAATCGGACGCCTTGCTCGACGGCACGATACTGAAAACAAATTCTTTCTCAAATATCCATTCAGTCGAATAACTTCAATCTTCCAACTTTCATCGATTCGTGCAATTGTCCTACCCATAGCGGCCCTGTTTTGGCCGTCTGCCCTCGCCCAAAATGTCCTCCCTTTTTGACGCCGTCCTTCAGTCTGAATTGGGGTCGACAGCTGGCTCCCGTGACAATCAACGACTCCATTCAGACCGCCTCCCCAGCTCTCGGCCACAACCGCCGTCCGAGAGCAATGGCCCGTTGAGCGATATGCATGGCTTCCCCGACGACCAAGTCGTGAACCCTAGCCGGTCGACTGTCAGTCGGCTTCGCAATCCCTATCTTCCTGGGCCTCCCCCGGTGGTCGATTTGGCTGGGGAGAAAGTACAGCAGGCTTTTGAGGAACTGCTCGAGACTTATATGGAGGAACCGTCGTTGTCGGCGCCTCCACCATCGTCGGAGATACTGAGTGACAAATATTATATCGCACAAATCAAAGGCATGAAGAAATTCGAGCTTTCAACCCTCTATGTCGATTTTACCCACTTGACATCTCTCAGTAACCAGATTCTGGCGGATGCGATTGCCAACCAATACTTCCGATTTCAACCCTTCCTAACAAGAGCCCTTCACAATTTAATTGCAAAACATGAACCTGAATACTTCGTCTCTCATCGTCAGGCCACCAGTGCCTCATCCCAGGCCAGCTCATCCATGATGGCTGCCAATGCAAGTGTGACTGAAAACCCTGACTTGGGGCAGAATATTCGCGCGAAAACCCGCCACCAGCAGACTGACAAGCTGTTTTCTTTGGCATTCTATAACCTGCCTTTGGTCTCCAGACTGCGCCAACTTCGCACCTCCCAAATTGGAAAGCTGCTCTCCATTTCCGGTACCGTCACTCGGACATCTGAAATTCGGCCTGAGCTGTCTCTTGGAACTTTCGTTTGTGAGCAGTGCAAATCGGTTGTCTCGAATGTGGAACAGACCTTCCGATACACCGAGCCAACACAGTGCCCAAATAGCACCTGCATGAACCGCTCAGGATGGCGCCTGGATATTGGGAAGAGCACGTTCGTCGACTGGCAAAAGGTGAAACTCCAGGAGTCATCGCACGAAATTCCAACCGGGAGCATGCCCCGCACCATGGATGTGATCTTGCGTGGTGAGATGGTCGACCGTGCCAAGGCTGGTGAACGTTGCATCTTCACTGGTACCCTGATCGTAATCCCTGATGTCAGTCAATTGGGACTTCCAGGTGTACGACCGGAGGCTGTTCGCGACAACGGTGCTTTCCGGAGTGGCGATGTCGGTGGAGGAGGTGTCACTGGTCTCAAGTCACTGGGTGTCAGAGACTTGACCTATCGACTGGCGTTCCTTGCCTGTATGGTCACCCCTGACACGACAACTCCTGGCCAGCAGTCGAATCAGCAGTTGAACGGCCAATCCCACAACATCCTGGCTTCATTGAACCAGAACAATGAACCGGAAGCCGACGAGGACAAAGCCCAGGAGGCTCTCCTTCAGAGTTTCACCCCATACGAAGTGCAGGACTTGAAGAATCTGGTTCACTCTGAGTATATCTACTCTCGGTTGGTAGATTCAATCGCTCCTATGATCTACGGTCACCGGCAGATCAAGAAGGGTTTGCTTCTGCAGTTGATTGGAGGTGTCAGCAAACATACGGAGCAGGAGAACATGCAATTGCGTGGTGATATTAATATCTGCATTGTTGGTGATCCTTCGACAAGCAAGAGTCAGTTCTTGAAGTAAGCTTTCAACCCTGCCAACGCGCTTTCTGTGCCATTTCGGAGTCCCTGACCCTGTTCTTTCCAGGTACATCTGTTCTTTGCATCCTCGCGCTGTTTATACTAGCGGCAAGGCATCATCTGCAGCGGGTCTGACCGCATCTGTCGTCAAAGATGCTGAGACTGGTGAATTTACTATTGAAGCCGGTGCTCTGATGCTTGCTGTATGTCGCGCCCCGCTGTCCATACGTGGTTCCTGTGCTAATTTCATGATACACAATAGAACGGAGGCGGTATCTGTGCTATCGACGAGTTTGACAAGATGGACATCAGCGATCAAGTTGCCATCCATGAAGCAATGGAACAACAAACTATCTCTATTGCCAAAGCGGGTATTCATACTACCCTCAATGCTCGTGCGTCCATTCTTGCAGCTGCCAATCCTGTTGGTGGTCGTTACAACCCAAAGGCTACATTGCGCGCAAATCTCAACTTCAGTGCTCCTATCATGAGTCGATTCGACTTGTTCTTTGTGATCCGAGATGAGCCGAATGAAACGGTGGATCGTAATTTGGCTGACCATATCGTCAACGTGCACATGAACCGTGATGAGGCCGTCCAGCCAGAACTTAGCACAGAGCAGTTGCAGCGCTACATTCGGTTTGCCCGAACCTTCAGACCCGTATTCACGGAAGAAGCGAAGGCTTTGCTTGTTGAGAAGTACAAAGAGCTGCGAGCAAATGACGCTCAAGGAGGCATTGGCCGCTCTTCGTATCGTATCACAGTCCGTCAACTCGAGTCTTTGGTTCGTCTCTCCGAGGCTGTCGCCAAGGCCAACTGTGTCGAGGAGATCGTACCGAGCTTTGTACGCGAGGCCTATGACCTCCTACGCCAGAGTATCGTCACCGTCGAGAAGGATGATGTTGAAGTTGACGACGACGAAGGCACTCATGCGAATGGAGGGGCTGGTCAAGAGGATCACGAGATGGCTGATCGGGACAGGGAAGGTGACAGTCCCATGCGTGACGATGTGGAAGTACAGCCGCGTCAGAAGACCAAGATCACATATGATAAGTACATGAAGATCTTGAATCTGTTTGTTCGCCGCGTCAGTGAGGACGAGTCGAGGTCGGGTGAAGGTGTCGAGCAGGAAGATCTGATTGTCTGGTACCTGGAGCAAATTGAGTCTGAGCTGAACAACGAGGAAGACCTGCAGCGTGAGCGCGACCTGGCAGGAAAAGTCTTGAAGAGGATGGTCAAGGTTTGTTCTTTACCGACAGCAAGTGTCTCTATCACCGCTCATTTTACTGACTATTTTCGGCAAAACAGGAGAATATTCTCATGCCAATCCGAGGCGAGGGCCTGGTGGATGCTGATGGAGATCATCAAGAGCAAGTTCAACGGACAGTCTATGTGCTGCATCCTAACTGTGCCTACGAAGAGGCTTAATCGTTATTGTTCTCTTCTTCGTCAGGGTAAAGGATTATCATATATAGGGGGAGCATACCTATGGAGCAAATGGTTATGAGTGATGATACCTGTTTGTTTTCTCAGTACTCGGTTCTCTCTCTCTCTTTCGGCTGGGATTGCTGTTGATATTTGGTATTAGGTTATGGTTAAGGTGTATGGGCCCAACTGGTTTCGTTCTCATCATTTCTCCAATTCAACCTCGGATTGTATACACCTTCGGGCAACAGATCACAGGCGTTTTATCAGCCAGGCGTACTTCTCTGTTCTAGCTCATCATCACATACTAACTGCCTTTGGATTATCATCTTCCCTTCCTCTCCACTTTCGGGACTCTGTACGAGGCCGCTCGCCCAAGCCGTTCGTTCTCTATGTCTCTAATTTCAGCTATCACCTTGACCTCATTCTGCCCCTATCTGAGCTAAGGCTGCTAGCACATCTCGAATACTTATACCTTGCCTCGCCTTCTCTCATCTTCCCTACTCTACTACTCTTCCGATCATCTTCTTGGGCTCGGATTAGGTTTGAAACCAGTTATCTACGATCTCGCTTGTCTTCGAAGTATATCTCTCAATCCTCGCATCTCATCTCCTTCGTTCGCTCCTCACTTTTCGCTCGGATTTCATATCACACTGGTCTCTTCTTCCTAGCCTCCAGGCCATAAAAGCCTGACTTCTGGCTATCTTCCTGTCCTTCTTCCATCTTCCTTCCTTGCTCTCCACAATATACCAGCAGACTCGCCTTCTTTACGCTCCAATTCCCCCCAGCTCGTTTATCCTTTACCAACAACTGTGTCTCCTCCCAACCCTATCTTCTTCAACAACCGCAGAAGGGGGGCCGTTGGAAACCATTTCGTATCCTCTGATGATCGACCCTCCTCGAAATTACCATAAGCGCTTGTCTCAATCGTCTATTCCTGATAGCCTCCGTTGTAACTGTCCGTTTCACTCGCAAGCATGGATGTCGACCCTCTACATACCATCGACAATATGTTGTCCGAACCTGAACTAGATATCAATTTTTCTCAGTTAGAAAATATCGATGCTCGTCGACAGCAGACGGCATCAAAAGGCCTTTTTGCGCGAAGCGTTTTGGCTCTACGGAACAATGTCCCTACGACTTCCCTCCCCAAAGATACGGCAGCACCTCCATCGATTCCTGTAGCCTCGACAACTTGCACAGCACCTGCTCTTTTCGACAATCAGCTTTTTGTGGGCCAGCCGGCGGATAATGCCTTCGACGATGAGATTGAGCGGCTTCGGCAATTTGTGGCCGCCCAAAATGGAAAGGTGAGCGAAAGCAATGGCCTTACAACCATGTCCCTGGAGCCAGACCAAGTATCTACTGAAATTTCGAGTGGTGCGATGGCCATTGAAAATTTGGTAAATTTGGATGAGCCCCAGCCTGTGGTAGCCTCATCGTCGAAATCCTCTGAAGCCGCTAAGGCACCTGCGGTTACAGGGATTCAGGGACCGGTTGATGAAAGTGCCGCGTCTGAATGGCCTGAGGCACAGGAAGAAGATTCTACAGGGTAAGTAACGTGACAGCGTTGCGAATACTCACTTGCTGAGTTGGTGATGGCACTGAGATTGGTCGTCACATAGCCTTCCACTCCTGCGCCCTCATTGCCCGCGGGTCGCAGGGCATATTCCCCGGTAAATCCACCGGCGATACAGACATTGTGCGCAGATTTCAGGCTCGAGATTTTGACTGGGCCCTGGAACCCAGAATTAATTGGTAGGTTCGATATCATCCAGTCATGGTACAATACCCTTGAGAACCCAAGTCTGGAGGAAACTGTACAGTATGAAAAAGCAAAGCAGCAAGAGACTCGCCGCAGGGAGAGGATTGCCAGTCGGATGACTCTGGAAGAGCTCCAGACAGAACAGAACCTTGAGACTGTCCTGGAATTCTCTGAGGATGAGTTGGCCGAGTCGTCGTTTGGATCATTACAAGGAGACACTGGTGAGCGCTCGGATGCGGCTTCTGCAAACCGACCTTCGAAAAGCGTACGAAAGCAGAAGAATAGGGTCTCTGCTGCAGAAAGACGCAGAAGTATGAAGTTTGGTCTCGACATTGCCCTAGGACGTGTGACAAGGAGAAAGGGTTCCGGAAAGAAAACTTCTCGAAAGCGAAAGGCAGATGACAGCCATGAAGATGTCCCAGTCAACGGAAACGGAGGCAAGAAAAATTTTGAAAGATGCTGAATTCGACCTAGACGCATTTCTCAAGCCCGATGTTATCGCAGACGCTCAAGCAAACGCTGGGCTTCCAGCAATTCCAATATCTAATTCCAAAAACAAGAAAAATGCCCTCACTGAACTTGTCGCTAGCATCCCTTCTGCCGATCAGGACCAGGCCAAGTCTGACAAGCAGAAAATCCTCAACGCAACCACAAAGTTCAGGAACAAAGCAAGAGCTGATGGCAAGGGCGGGTGGAGGATCAAGGGCATGAAGACAAGTCTGTTCCATCATCAGGTTTGAACACCTTCAGCATGCTTTGAAGATCCATGCTAACGCGTGACATAGCTTCTCGGTGTAGCGTTCATGGTAAGCAAATCCTAGGTTAGATTGAGGAAGACAACTAATGTCAGCAGCGTGATCGAGAAAATTCGACCAGTCCACCCTACGGGGGCTTTCTTTGCGATGTTATGGGTTATGGCAAAACAATTCAGGCTTTAGGTAAGTAGCATTTGCGAAAATCCGAACGTGGTGAATGTTAACTCTTGCGCTTTAGCCAATATTGTCGACGGAAGATGCATTGACCCAGACGATCCCGTCAAAACGACATTGATCGTTGTTCCACCTCATCTTGTCGGGCACTGGTATGACCCGTTAGTGCTGATTTGTTTCATAAAGATATTCTGATAAGATACACAGGGAGTGCCAAGTCCTTAAGCATTGCGAGAAGGACGCCGTTGGTGACGTGCTTGTATACTGTGCTCAGTCCAGACTGCGTACCCTCAACCTTATTCAAAGTATGCAAAAGTATAGTGTCATGTAAGTCATACTGTGGCATGCTTCCCTAACGACTCACTCATTTGATGATCAGAATTACAACATACGACGAGGTCAGACGCTCGTATCCACGGTTGGAGCGCAAAGGTGAGGTTGTCGATGAAAAGAAGATTATTGAGATGTGGGAGGAACTCTATACCAGAGAAGTCGGGCCATTGCATCAAATCAGGTTTTTGAGGATCATCCTGGACGGCAAGTTTCTGAAAATAGCAAGTTTACACTTGTAATTGACTGTGTCTACGCAGAGGGACATTCAATCAAGAATCATCTTGCCTCTACGTCAATCGCTGTCCGTGCACTCACTGGCCATCACAAATGGATTTTGAGTGGAACGCCCGTGCCTAAGTAAGCATTCCTGCTTCTTCTTACATCGAGATACCGGAGTGCTGATAGGCGGCTGCAGCTTCATTACTGAGTTCTATCCGCACTTCGATTTCCTGGACTATCCGGACACGAATGATTACAGTCAGTTCGTGAAACGCTATTGCGAGGTATATGTGGCCCCTTTTTGTGACTCTATTGACCTCTGACAATTATGCACAAACAGGACGATGAAGCCCAGCAGCGCCTTCGAAATCTATGTCGAACATATCTCCTCCGTCGGACGCATTCCAGTCGACTCTTCTCGTTGCCTATCATCAAATTGCCTGGTATCGGCGAGAAAGTCGTCGAGGTAGATTTCTGTGATGTGGAAAGAAGAATATACGACGAGGTTCTCGAGTTGTTCATTTCAAATATCAATGGTACGTATCGTTGACATGTTGCTTTGACAGGTGTACGAACTGACCAATCTCTTGGTGAAGGTCTCAGCGAAGACACGAATCCGCGTCTCGCCCAGTGTCGATGCTTTCTCACTATGATCTTGAAACTGAGAATGATCCCTAGTCATTTGCTCACGACTCAAGATCTTGTCAAGAAGCTATTGTCCCAGTTCCTTATGAGGGATCTTGCCGAAATTGCAAGAGGAACAAGAGATCCTGACCACCCTTCAACCCAGATCATAAAATGGTTTGTCACTTTGAAGAAAGGTGTTTCTCTGCCCGCCGCACAACCAGATAACGAAGATCCGAGCCAGTCGAGGAGTGAACTTAACGGGGACAGAGAAGAGCTTGTCAAACAATTTCACAAGTTCATGGCGGAGCTTCACGAGAACGGGCAATGGGACGAGCGATTGAGAAGAAGCAGCTGCCCTCGCTGCGAGTTTACTCCAATTGGCCCAATCATCACCAGCTGCATGCATCTGTATTGCGAAGAATGCTATTACATTCTCAAAAATAGTCTCGCTTCTGCGGATGGGAAGCCGATATGTCAAATATGCAACAGCCCTATCGCGGAGGCTGCATATTGCGGCACGGCCGAGACTATTGTACTCAAAGAGCCGCCAGTCCCTTCCAATTCGACTCAGAAAAACAGGACGAAACCATCTTCTCGGAAAAAATCAAGCAGATTGTTTGGTAGTCGGATGTTCTCAACCGCCGCACAACGATCACGAATGAGGCAAACAGATGATGAACCACAACACGAAGACGAGGAGATAGATTGGGTTTTAGGCAGTCAAGGGGAAATGCCTGGTGCAAAGGTTGCTAAGATTCGGGAACTGGTCGCTAACTGGATTCGAGAAGATCCGGACGCCAAGGTTGTTATCTTCACCCAATTTCTTGACTTCGTTCGACTCTTTTCCTTCATATGCTCCAAGGAAGGCTGGCCGCACTGTCGTGTAAGTGTTTTGCTTTTTCAATATCTAATGAGTTGTCTTCAGTGCGCACTAACATTGAGATAGTTGACGGGAAAGATGTCAATGGGAGCTCGCGACCTGAGCATGAAGGAGTTCAGGGAGCAGCGAGAAGTGAAAGTGATGATTGCAAGTCTCATGGCCGGTGGTACAGGGCTCGACATGTCCATGGCAAACAAATGTATCCTTGTGGATCTCTGGTGGAATGAAGCCATGCAGCAGCAGGTATGAGAAACTCTATGCATCCGTCGATCGAACGAATGTTGAATGTTCTAACGGTCATTATCCTAGGCATTCTGTCGACTGTACAGAATAGGGCAAGAGAAAGTGGTGGAGATTGTCAAAGTCATCGTGCGAAACACTATTAACGACTACATCCTCAAACTCCAATTGAGAAAGTCGGCGGACATCAACAGCACTATTGGTGAAGAAGCATTGCAGAAACGAGACACAATCCTTGACCTTCTTGAAATGTTCGCAGAAATCGAGGTGCAAGAGAATGGCGGCGTCAGAGTCGAGTTGCGCCACAAGGGAAAACAAGGCGACGAAGGCAACCAACAAGGCAACCAACAAGGCAACCAACAAGGCAACCAACAAGGCAACCAACAAGGCAACCAACAAGGCAACCAACAAGGCAACCAACAAGGCAACCAACAAGGCAACCAACAAGGCAACGCGAAGCGATTCAAGGGCAAAGAACGTGATAACGGCATTGGCTCTTCAACTTCGTGCTCGTCAAGTGCTTGAGACGCAATGCTCCAAGAGAACGGAATGCGCTTATGGGATATTAATCGCTTGGTTATTTGGTGCTTTTTATCAGTATCTTCTTTGGTTATTTGGGAATCAGGCATTGCCCAAAAGGATTCCACATATTGCTAGCACGTGAGATTTTGGATTTTCTGCGAAGCGAAATGTTGTTTCAGTTCCCATCTGCATATCTAAAACATAACGTTATTAAACAATATCATGACGGCAACCTTTGCCTTCCACATAAGATCATTTCAAATCATAACTCGTGAATGTATCACCCACGTTGATAGACCGCGACAGGATTCGAATCCATCTCCTGCAAAATACTATAACTATCCTGCTCATGGCCATTCTCAACATTTTCCTTATCTTCCTCGGGAGAGGAGTACCAATCCTCTCCGCAGAAGACACCCTCAATCTCCATATCCACCGGATCCTCGTAGATGGGAAACATGCTTGACGAATTTTTGCGCTGCGAAGAGAAGCTTCCAAACCCTCCACCAAAAGATCCAGTGTGACTTGACCAAGGACCAAACGGATGAAGCGGACACTGAGCGTGGGGCCTCTCAGGAACCGCCTCTGTCTCAGCCTCCGTCTCCGTTTCACTCCCCATATACATCATTTCTATGTCCGTCTCCTCGCTCATAGCTCGGCGAGGCACCGCAGTTAAGACGCCATTCGCATCGACAGGACCTTGCTGATAGCTCTGAATGTTGAAGAAACCCGTATAATGATTGAGAAGCTGACTAGATCCGAGCGGCGCCCCTGTGCCCTGATGACTTTCGTTCATGGATTGTGTTTGACACGAAACTTCGGATTGCGATATCCTCGCTCGCTTGGCCAGCGGTATTGGTGTTATCGTGCTCTCATCTGCAGTGCTATCTTCAAGGTCCTCGTGTGTTCGAATTCGTGGTGTAGTGTTGTTTGTGGTGTTAGTGATATTATTGTGTGCAGGATAATGTTTTCTCTTCAAACAGTGGGAGGTAGTTGTCTGTGTTATCTGCTTGTTAGCAGCATGATCTTGATATTTTGAATACCTGTTATTAACTCACCACTTGATCTACATTCACGCAGAGCTCAAAATCTATCTCGTCCATCATGGTGTGTGCAGGTGGCTGCAAGAAAAGGCAAGTTAGTGGTGTTAGCGAGAGAAGTCCACGATGATGAAGAGTTTCATGTCTGCACTCTATATATTGTCGTTCTCCAGGATTTCAGGCATGAAAGAAGACAGAATAGAGTGCTATGTATCAGGAATCTTGCGAGTTCGAGGGAGGTGACTGCCTGTAGTCGATGGTTGTATGCGGGCCTGGGAGGGATCGGGAGAGATTCCAGCTTCGACGTACCCGGCTCGTAGGAGGACTGTTCTGTTGGATCATACATGGCATGATAGCAGTAAAGAGGTGACAAATCCTGGTTAAAATGCAAGAACAGAGCGCTTATGTACTCAAAAAAGTGTGGATGAAGTGGACGCTCTAGCGTCAGGCTCTCAAGCCAGAGCGCTGTTTGAAGTACTTACTTCGAAAATGAGGAGACAAAGAAGAACTGCTGGATTGATTTAGGAGATGAAATAGCGTGAGCTTGTGAACATGACTGACAAAACTAGTAGAGAGAGGAAGAGGGTGGAGTAACGATGTCCGGACTTTGGGATAGAGTGCAGGGACCGCACTTCACACGTTACGATCACTTTGTCGGAGGTTCAGAGACAACTCAAGGGTTCACAGTGTCTCTTTCATAGCTTAAGTGACAAACAGATTTGCAGGGGATTCAGAATCATAGAAGGGAGAAGTTTAGAGGGTTCAAGCATGAAAAGACATGTTTAGTTACACACTTTCTCTTCAGGGATTTATTCTTGAATGGAGCCTAAACAACTGGCAGATGATACTACCGAGAGTGACAAGCTATCAAGCCTGAAGGAGACTCCTCGTACTGGAAGATAGATATTACGCAGTTTGCTAAATCACAACACATTAGGTAGAAGCTGACCGGCCATGTAGTTGATCGAGATTCACAAACTAACTAGCAGGATTAGATCACAATCACGATCACTATTGCCATGACACATACAATCCTCGAGAGACTTCATCCGAGAGGACGATCGTCTCGTCATAAATCATACTCGAACAATATCCTCGCAGCATTGGCGCAAAGCCATTCTAGTGAGACCACAATAACCCCTTTGCGAGGCAGAAGAGTGTAACGGGGTAAAAATAAAAAGAAAAGAAAAGAAAAGAAAAGGAAAGGAAAATTGCAAAGAAACCAACAAAACCAACTCAAAATGCTCCAGCAAAGGGTTATTGTGGCATCTCAAGATTTCGCACTCTGCGCACGCCTGAGGCATGATTGGTCTGCGTCGTCCTCTTCTACCTGAATTGCCCTGGGCCACCAACTTGGCCAAACATGTCCAAAAGATGCCTGGAGGATGGAGGAGGTCCTTGTGGACCAGGGTTACCCTCAAAAGGGCCCTGTCCACCATGACCAAGTCCCAGAAGAGCGTCACTATTATGTGGCATAGGTGGAAAAGCGGATGGCGGGGGGCCGTTCATGTAACCAGGAGGAGGCATCATCCCTGGTGGGAGAGGGGCACCCGCGCCGCGTGGGAAAAGCTGGCGTTCACTGGGAGGAGGAAGATTGCTATGCATAGGCGGCATCATGAAGTTCGGGTTGACACCTCGTGTTGGGGTCGGAATACCGGGGGGAGGGGCTAAGGGGCTGGGGCCGCCACCCTGCTGCGGAGGCATCTGAGGACCGTTCCATCCTGGAGGTGGCAGATGCTCGAAGCCCGGTGGTCTCTGAATACCCATGCCAGGATGGCCCTGCCCTTGAGGAGGCCTGGATCCACCTGGTGTGATTGGCATATGACCGCCTTGGGGAAATGGGACCTCATCAAAATAACCCATGGGCGGTCCATTGACAGGTCTTCTTCGAAGCTGATCAGCCTCTGGTCTTTGCATGTTGGCAATTGCGGGGTCATCCAAGAAATTATGTCCCTTCTGAGCAGTAGGGATGCCTGGAGGGCGGGACAATACTTCCGGCATATTCATTAGACCAGGCGCCGGACCTGCACTTTGAGGTTGACCTTGGGGTCCGTGAGGTTGATTAACGACCGGAGTCACTCTAACCTGTTGCATTAAACGAAGAAGATGCTCCCTGTCGCGAGACTGAGGGTCCTTGAAAGGGGAGTCATGTGCGTGCATGTTTTCTTGCATTGCGGGAGCTGTACTGTGAGCATGGGCATCCGGCATCACCATGTATTCCGGCCGTTTCACTGAGTCCTTAGAAGGAGAAGAGAGAGCACTCAGAGCTGAATCGGCTTGCACCATGGGTGGGCGAGGGGGCTGAGCACTGTCGATTTGGGGTGTCGCATTGCGCGATTTGCTTCCTCCAAGCATTTGTAAAATGCGCTGGAACCCTTCCTGATCCGCATCATTGGTTGAAGGTTGGGGAGCTGGTGACCTGGTTTCAAGGTGGTGCTCCGATTCCTTCGCTGGGCTTCCTGGAGGCGGGCTAAACAATCCGGCAAATCGAGACGACTTTCCAAGCTTTCCCGGCGCTGGCTCCTTCTTGCTAGTTATTTCTATGGAGGTGGGTGTGCTGATGACGTCCGGAGCGGGTTTTGCATCACCTAAGAGTCCAAAGAAACGCTCCATCGCTGAATCCGACTGGAAAGGCGTACCGTTGCTACTGAATATTTCGCCATCCGTGGGTCGGTGCTCGGATTGCGCAGGCTGCGCAGATCGGCTGGCGACCGATTCGGGGAGAGCTTCTTTCTTCTCCTCCGCTTGTGGTTGCGAAGAGCCGGCCTTCATTCTCTCTTTCCAGCGCTCAAAATCCTCTTGTGTATGCACCTTACGCGACTCGTCTCTGTCGTCTGTGTCCATCCACTCAGGGTCCTGTTCAAACTTGGCTCCCCGACTCCAGTCGCGGTCTGCACCATGTCTGTCTCGGCGCCAATCTCTGTTCCGCACTGAAAGTTTCTCGTCTTCCGTCTCTGGCCCATCATGGGCGTTGTCATCACGGAACCAGCTTCCTTCATGTCTGGCTCGACCCGGTGTACCATCTTTCCGAGGGGTAAATTGTCCTTCTTTCTCTCTCACTCCCCGCTCAAAAGTCTGTTCCCTCTGATCACGGTTCCAACGGTCGAATTCTACATTGCGTCTGGGTTTTCTGTCTTGTTCCTCCTGGCCAAAGGTACGACGCGGACGTCCGTTGTTCCATTCTTCTCTTTCCCCACGGCGACCGTTGAACGGCGTGGGCTTGCCATCTCGGCGATCAAAATCTCTATCTGCGGCTTCCCTGTCCTTGAAGAACTTGTCTCGCAGATTGAAGCGATCGTTTGATGCCTCATCAGACTCGACCTGTCGGGAGGGGCGGTCCGTGAAATCTATCGAGCCTTTGCTACCGGATATGCGAGATGCAGATGCGAAAGCAGTTTTGGGAGGTCCGAGAACAATATCCTCTTCAACGACAGCCCCGAGTTAGCGAGTCTTGGCATATCAAAGGGTGGACAATGGCGTCATTTACCTGAATTCGAGTTTCTCGAGAGATGGCGAGTTTCGAACAGGCTTGGTCTTCTAGGCGTTGCTTCATTTGGATTCGTGGGGTCTCTAGAATTTGTAGGTTTTCGTTGTGTTGTTGGGTCAGGAAGCGGGCTGGTAATGAGTGGAATCGTCAGTATCATGAGAGCGAGCGAAATAAGGATGGTCGCAGGAAGCGAGCGATATCGTTCTTACCCCATCCAGTCTTCTACCGGCGGTAGATTTGTAGGCTTAGTGACCAGAGGCGATGAGCGCAGCCATAGCAGCTCATCGATCTGGTAACGTCGCGCCATAAGGATGGCTGTGTGTGATATGATCAGATTGTTACCGTGTGCTCATTGGTTCACACCTTTGAGAAGCTCGAGCGTCGCAGACAGGAAGAAGTTTTATGAGTCAAGGATAGGTAGTCGAGTGAAGACTTCCTCAATCGAGCGAAAGGTGGTTTCAAAGGGTAAACGGTCAAATGGAAAAGCGAGGCCACTTGTTAGTGGCAAGACGGCAGGCGGAGGTGGAATCGGTGAAGGTCAGAGTGTGCTTGCTAGTGGATGAGGGGTAACAAGGGTGGTTATGTTTTGGAATTGCTTGACAAGATGAGTCTGCGGATAATCTGGATAGTAGATAACACGATCAAACTGTCAATGTCAACGGGAAGAATTTAGGCAAGGGGAATGGTAGAGAGAGCAGTCGAGGGTGCGGGCGGAGAAGATGAGGTCTGACGGGGAGGAGAAAGTCGTTCGGCCGCAAAACGTTTCGTCCTGGTCTGAACTGCCCAAAGGGGTAAAAGCGGCCAGCATCATGTCAACCAGCTCAGCTCTCAATCTTTATCATTGCAGCCTCTCCGTCGCAAATAAAGCATCAAATTTAGGGTAAAGAAATTGAGGCATCTGGTTTTTTGCATTTTATTTGCTGTTTAAGGGATTCTTAAGCCATCTTCCTACGTGATGGACAGCCTAGTATATGAGCGCGACATTATCACGTCGAAACATAAAAAGTGCACAATTATTGTATTTACATAGACATTCAGGAATAGTGAATGGTGAATGGTGAACGGTTCTTCATATAATGAGCATATGACCTCGCTCACAATACACCAGAGAACCCCGTCGACTCGCGGCTAAACGAGACAACTTGCGAGACAGTCCCAACAGGAGGTAAATGAAGGATCAATGAAGTATTCTCAAAAAGAATAGCAAGAACATCTATCCAACGATGTGTTCAATAACCTGTGCCACTGCCCCTCCACTCCATTTCGTGACTCGGTCCTGATCCGCTGCTTGACGCAAGGTGTCGGCCATGGCTGCAAAGGTAGCAGCCTCTTTAGCATTCACTACCGGAATCTGGGTTTGAATCCAGCTGACGACGCCTGCCCTAGTAATTAAGGTTGTACTGCCTCCAACCTGTGTCGATCGGTACAGGAGATGCAAGATCTTCCTTCTGGCGGAGGCCCCGACACTAGGTGAGTCGTAGAAGGAAAGCACACGCTCAAACACATTTGCGCGACGGTAAATATCCATATCCTGTGGGAGCCAGTCAGTACCATGCTTGTTTAAAAGAGCAAGTCCGCTTACCGTCTCAGTACGAAGGCCCTCGATAAGTAGATCCAGTAACCAACTTGTTTCCTCAAAATATCCATCGTCCAACTCAGGTTCATGTAACAAAATCTTGTCAATCCAATAAGAGGGTATCTTTTCCACCTCCCAAGCTGGTGCCTTCTGGAGGAACTTATTGACCTTGCCATAAAGTTTGTGCATTGGGTCCGTAAGCACAGAGAGACAGCAGGTAGCACATTCCCCGACGATCCACGGTACGGGAGTTTCGAGCCCAATTTGTTTCACGGTTTCGAGCAGCTCGCCAGTAAGGATGTACACTGATCGCCATTCCGCATATTTGGACTCCTGAGATTATTGTTAGTCATTTCGCATCATTCGCGCATGGGAAACGTACCCTAAGCTTCGCCATGAATCGATTTAGGTTGGCGAATGCTTGTCTCCGAACTTCCTCATGTTCCGAACACAAGCACAGCATCAGATCAGAGATGCGACCCTGCTCCACCGCAACTTCGAGCTCCTCCTTCTCCCATTTGTGAAGCTCATTATGAGTTTTGCTTTCAGTCGGCAGCGTGCCAAAGATCTCCCTCAAATCTACCTGCACCGCTTTGTCTTTCTGAGCATGAGCCTCCGAGCGAGTCACTCCGTCCTGAGACCTGCCATCGTTATTGGCGGCCTCATCAGTGTCTTTCAGGGCCTTCTTGAGGGTTGACTTGAGTTGCTTGCTCTCGACTGTCTGTAAAACGCTATCTCGAGCGGCCTTGAGAGTCTTTGGATCTTCTCCTGCCTGCTTCAATTGACCGAGCACCCTAGCAATCCACGTGCTTACAGCAAGCTCCGCAGCTGCATTCCCATTCTTGGCAACAAATGGCCATTGTTCGGTGATAGCAGCAACGATAAGGCTAGTCGGTTTGTTCTCACCTTCAGTCAGAGATGAGAGTAGATCATCGTAATGGACTGGCTTCTTTGCGATTCTGCAAGCGCAGTTATCGAAAAAGGCCAACTGATGATGAATGCTTTCGGACTCGGTAGCATCAAAGCTAGACCGGAGAGAAAAGAAGGCTGAGGAACTCTGTATGATCGAGTTCTCCGTCAGAATCGTCGTCAGCAGCTTTTCAATTTCCTTGGAGGAATCATTGTCCGAGGTTTCAATAAGCACTTTGAGAATGGATGTAAAGGCTGAGTATTGCATAGATCCTGTGTACCGTTAGTATAGCGCCTTTGAAAAGAGGTTGTCGCGGCTTCTTACCTGGTTGTTGCCACCACCGCATAGACGCCGACAGCTGTGCGATTTTAAGAACGTTTTGCAGTTGACTCAGAAGTGACTCGGCATCCTCTGCTTGTAGATCGGAACTCTCTAGTCGTTTCAAAATATCGACCAGAACAAGGGAAACGTCAAAGTTCTCGTCAAAAGCAGCATCAGGGACAATTTCGTAGAAGCAAGCCAAGAGCTCACTAACGGCCTCCTGTTGCTGCAGGTCCTCTTTGCCCGTTCTTCGGAATAAGACTACAATATCTTTAACCACTGGGCACCGCCGACAAAACTCGGCAACTAGTTTTCCTGCAGCTTGAGTCCAAAATGGCTGGTTAGATCCATGGTCGGCGTTGAATATCTTCAAAGCAGCCCGAAGCTTATTGAATGCGATCGTCAAGATTCGAACAGCGAAGAGTGTAACAATCTCCGCGTTCAGGTTCAAGCAGCGACTCATGATCTTCTGGGTAAGCGGACGGGGAAGAATGTTCTCGATGACAACCGAGACAGGAGGAGGCATAGCAGGGAGCTTATCATTCCAACCACAATTTGGCGGAATTGGAAGGCTGACAATTGAAAAGAGAAGAGCTGACTCTGCCATCCAGGAGGACGTGGGTTTTGGATCAGAAATGAACATTGTCTTCTTCGTAAAGTAATCGGCGACAAGTTCTGGTGCTTTCTTAAAGATGGCAACCAATAACTCGATCTGCAGGCGATCCATATCCGGACGAAGTGCTTGAATGAGATAAGACAGGGTTCCGTTGCGAACAGGTACTGACCCCTTGTACTTATCCACGTACACAGCGGAATCCAACCCCATTTCGATGGAAGAGTCATCCTCAGTCGGTAAGGACTCAGGGTCAGTTCTATTTGGATACCAGCCTGTTTCTGGAAGCAAAACGCCCAATGCAGAATCTGTACAAATATTCATAAGGATTTTATGCACTTCATCTGCAATCGAGACACCAGCCGGATTTGGCTCCTCGGATTCGCGATCATAGCCGTACAGCGTCACAAATCGCTCGAGATTCCATCGGCTGAAGAATTTCGTTTTGGCGCTTCGTGGAAGAGCAGTATCCTGAACGATATCCTTGTCAATGGATTTGATGATCTCTAGAACGATATCTCGTGGATCCTTCCTGACAAACTCGAGAAATGCTTTGATCACCTTGTGTTGCTCGATGAAATCGCTCTTCGCATTTACATGTTGAACTCTCAGGTTTGCAAGAACATATTTCTGTGCATTTCTTCGCAATGTAGATTTTTGAGATTCGCCTGCGTCCTCTAGCTGGGCCTTGTTCGGTGTCAGAAAGACATCGAGGCGCTTGAATGTGATGTACCGCGCCATGTAGACCTGTCGGGCCACCGCACCGCCGTCGAAACTGACAATCTCCGTAAGAAGGCGAAGACATGGCGATATCAAATGTTCCTTAGACTTAAGTGCAGTTAACCCACGATTGAAGAGTCTCAACTGATCTTTGTGCATCAGGTGCTTGCACAGGGCCAAACCGAAGTCTCGAAGATCTAGTTGAGTGGAAATCGTTTTGAGAAAAAGAGCCAGCACGGACGGGACAACGGTCAACAGGGACTCGTTATTGCTGCTGTCCGCAAAGCTCCAGGTTTGAATAAGGTCAGGAAAGCAGATGGCCTCATCTTCGGCCCCATTACGAGAGATTTGCGTATCACAATAGGCCTTTAGAATTCGAAAATTCTTAGCCTTTTCACCCTCCTTCTCGGTCTGGCCGATGGATGTGAGAAATTCCTTGAATTGTCTGATGCCTGTGCTTCTTGTGAGTGCCAAAATCTACAGCTAACTGGAAGGAACGGCGTTCCTGAGTACTTACCATGCTTGGATTCAACAACGTTCTGTTGAAAAGCCAGGAGAGAACAAAGCTGCGTATGTGAAGTTATCGGCGCGACATTTTCCGTCTCATTTCCATGGTCGATCTTTCTTCTCTTTGATCGAGGAGACTGATGGTCAACGTGCGACATTTTCTATATGTTGTTTTGCCAATGTCTTTTCGATGACGGAAATAAAAATCGAAGATTTGAAGCAATCCTATCAGAGTTTTGTTTTGCGGCGTCTGATTGGTTGCTAAGGTGGCGGCTGCGGAATTGTGATCAGAGATGAATTTCACACCAACTTATTTCTGACCTGAAGAGTGAGCCATTCGGTATTTTGAGTCGGTGAAAGGACTTGTATGCACTGAGAGGCCTTGTTGATATTATTTATTAATTACTGACAACAGCAGCTTCCAGATTTTGAATGCGTCAAGGATGTTGAAAAATTTTCGCATAAATAGAAGGCGGTGTGCATCTGCAATTTTTGCCGCTCTCTCCGACGTTTCTTAGGACAATACTTACGAATAATTTACTTTGCTCGCTCCGTAGAGGACCTCCAGATATAATATTAATATGCCTGACTCTGAAATACTAATTTAGATTTGCTGGGGTACATCTATGAAGTGCTATGCCCATTTAATAGGAACAAACAGCAAAATGATGCAACAAAAGTACAATTGAACGGGGTATTCTTGATAGTAAAATGACCTTATATATCCAAGCGCAGTGTAGGAGAAAAAGGGGTTTTTAACCCCAAGTACCTCCTCCACCACCCCTTCCCTGGCGGCGTTGAGCAGAAAGACGCCAATCATCCTCTCCTGCAAAGCGGTTGTGCAGGGGTTGGATACGCTCCGCCTTCTTGCGCTTCGAAAGGCGATCAGTGGGCGCAACCTTAAAGAAGGTGGGTGCTGCCTCGACCAGCCATTTCGGCTCGATAGCGGTAGTGCAATGCATGTATTCCTTCGTGGTAAGTACCAGGGTATGGTAGATAACATGCTCGGCCGGCTTGCCAAACAAAGCCGAGCTGGGATGCATGTACACCGGTGTGCCTTCAACCAATGTCTTGTAACCCTCCTGAGGATCCTTACGGGCTGCATTTCTGAAGAATCCAGTACATAACGCCTGCCGCACTTTCATCGTGTTCCTACCGCATGAGACGATCTTATGGTGATATCGTTCCATGATGCCCAGTAGCTGCTGGCGTACATCTTGTGCGCGGCGTATCTGACGTGCTTGGATAAAGTTCTCGTAACACCACGCATTGTTGAATTTGGAGTTTTTCCAGCCGTTGTAGACATTGAGTAGAGTCAAATGATCACCATGTGGATCGTGGAATTTGGCCTTCTTCTGGTCTGCTTGTTGCTGCTTCTCCTTCGGACGGTAGAAAACTGACTGGATCGAGAGCATAGCAACAATACTAAGCATTTCTTCTGAGCATCCCATGTCTACCGACGCAATAAGAACCTTGGCGAGAGCCGGCTCCATAGGGAAGTCGGCCATCTTACGACCCAGCCTAGTCAAGAGACCTTCGTCATCCAAAGCAGAAAGGGCATAAAGCTCCTCCAAAGCTGTAAGCATGGTATTTGTCGGCGGTGGGTCCATGAAGTCGAAGTGTAGCAGGTCATTGATACCCATGGCCTTGAGCATGAGAATGGTATGCGACAGGTTTTGACGTTGGATTTCAGGGATTGTCGTTGGCAGCATTTCCGATTGATAAGCCGCTTCGGTGTACAAACGGAAACACTTTCCTGGACCAGTTCTTCCTGCACGGCCAGCTCGTTGTTTGGCTTGCGCTTGAGAGATCGGGGTGACCACAAGAGAATCCATACCAAGCTTGGGGTCGTAGGCATTCTGCTTCACGAAGCCCGGGTCAATGACATAATAGATATTATCGATCGTAATAGATGTCTCGGCGATGTTTGTCGCAATGACAACTTTCCTTCCGCCAGGCGGTGCTGGTTCGAAGATTCTGCTCTGCATCTCACTAGGAAGGGCAGAATAGACCGGAAGAATGACCAACTCGGGTACGCTCTTGCCTAAGGCTTTCATTCGTTCGTACAAAATCTCACAGGCAGTGTCAATCTCCTCCTGTCCCGTCAAGAACAGAAGAATATCTCCAGCCGGTTCTGTCAAATGAATCTGCATGACAGTAATGAGAGCCGCATCCAAATAATCAGGTTCAGGCTCTTTCGAATACATGACCTCGACCGGGTAGGTACGGCCGGGAATCGAGAAAATCGGACACTTGTTGAAGTATTCGGAGAACTTTTCGGCATCCAGAGTGGCTGAAGTAACGATGAGTCTGAGATCGGGCCGTCTTTTGATCGTTTTCTTCAGTAGCCCGAAAAGAACATCAGTGGCGATCGTCCGTTCGTGGGCTTCATCCAGCATGATCACAGAGTATCTCTTCAGATCAGGATCGAGCAAGACCTCTCTTTGGAGCATTCCGTCCGTCATGTACTTGATCTTCGTTTCCGGACTCGTGCAATCTTCGAAACGAATCGTGTACCCGACCTCTGCACCCAGCCTGCAGCCGACTTCCTCTGCTACACGTTTGGCGACAGACATGGCCGCCACACGTCGCGGTTGTGTACATCCGATCATGCCGTTGTTCGCGTACCCAGCCTCCGCTAGGTACTGCGTCACTTGAGTTGTTTTTCCTGACCCAGTGTCTCCAACAACAATCAACAATTGGTTATCGCGAACAGCGTCGAGTAGCTGTTGGCGGAATTTATAAACCGGCAGACTCTCCCGCTGCTGCTTAATTGACATACTCGTTCTCTTGCCGAAAGACTGATTCTTGCCCATAGTGACTCTTTTCCACTCAGGCACCGCATCGTCAGGCTTAGATTGATGGGCATTTCGTAGATCAGCTGCGAATTTCCGCTGGTCTGGCGCAGCCATGGGATCTTGCCATTGTGCGCTGAGATCAACCTCGGCTGCTTGTTCTGCGGCCTTATCTTGAGCCTCTTGCTGACGCAGTTCTCTCCTGTCCTTGGCCAAGTTGGTACCTGCCATTGCAGCGCGGTTAAGAGAGCCGTCGGGGGCCTTGACGACTCTGATGGGAGAAAGCTCCAAGGACATCTTCGTCTGGCCAGCCAGGAAGGGAGGTTCTTCGTCTCGAACCTCAATGTCGATATCTTCTTCTTCCTCGAATGTACCCTCTCCGGTCAATGTGGCATGGTACTCTTCATCAATATCAGGATAGTCGGCTGCAGAAACAGCACCAGATGCAATGAGTTGTTTAATCTCCCATCTTTCAGGAGACGTCAATCGTTTCCGATTTCTCATCTGCTTCCCATTTGAATCCTCTAAGACTGGCACATCCGAACTTAAGTTTCCGTATCTGTCATTGCCGGAAACACCTTCGAGACGCTCCATGTTGGCACCCGATGCGAGGCGCTTTTGAGGGACGAGATCAAGGCCAGTAATTTGGTCCACCTCCTTCATCGAGAGGCCAATGCGCGAACCTTGTATAGTGATGACTTTGACCTTGACCGGCTGCCCCCTGGACACCAAGTCGGAGGGATGATTAACTCGTGCCCCTTCCTGCATTGCAGAGACATGGACCAAACCGTCGACTTTGCCCTTTACCCCCAAGAGATTCACAAAGGCACCAAAATCTTTGACTCCAGTTACACGCCCGTCATAGACCTTGTAGAGTATGGGCTGATCGTCCAATTCGACTGGAGGGGGCTTGCGGAAATAGTCGTCATCTTCGTCGCGACGCCTCCGTCGCTCGCTGCGTCCGTTACGATACGCGTCGTCCCTGGCACCGTATTTGCTCGTTGACCGGCCGAATTCGTCCACTTCGTCGCCGTTTCTTTTGTAGTAAGGGCTGCGCGATCGTGACCGCGAGCGGTATCCGGCTTCGCGCCTACGGCCCCGACTGTAGCCATCGTAATCCGGGCTTCTGCTTCGCTTTCTGCTAGTCCGCTCCTCTCGTGTCGACCGACCCTTATCTTCCCGAGCCTTTCCTGCGAGTCCTTCCAGCATCGCAAATGTGTCGTCCATAGCTTCCGCCTTTGCGTCACTCTCATGGACATCCTTGCTTCGAATGTGGTCGTCTTCGTCCCAGTGTTGTTGCTTGTCAGGAACAGCAAGTCCCTTGAAAACCCGGGCCTTCTTCTCGAGAGCATCAAGAACATCCATATCCCCATCCGCTCCTGCCTCCTCCTGGGTGGCTTTTGCTTTCTCCGCCTTGTATTTCGGGTGCATCGTAAGAACCAGGCGATCGATACTCTCCATCAAACTCTGCGGGAATTCCGCACCCATCGCCTCCAACTTCCCTTTGAACTCGTCGAACGAGCCACATGATAGATGCTGATCGATCACAAACTCAGCGAGTGTTTTGTCACTGACGCCTAAGTGATTCTGGAGCTCACCCGTGATTCGCGAAACGAGCGAAAAGAGCTCCAGGGACTGGAGGTCATCCATAACCTGCAACGGAGAGCGAAGTCGCCAGAAGCGAAATCTGAACTTGTGAAAGAGAAATATTGGCTGTACAAGCTATGATACCGATAGCGTCCCACCTGTGAGAGAGCGCCAGACACCCTCTGGCAACAAAGCTGCCTTCTGATGTTCTCTGCGACACTTGAGATTTGGAGCAAGCTCACCGTCGCGGAAAATCGTTGTGGCGTGTTCGGAGTTCTCGCCACCGATAAGATAAGCCACAGCAAATATCGGCAACTGGCCGAGAATCACAATACCACTTGACGCGATGTGATTAAGAGCCCCAAATATCTAGGGTAGTGTACGAATCTGGAGTTGTTGCAATGCACCGGCTGATTTTTGAGATTCTTGAATGCAACGCCGAGAAAACTCTCGTTCCTCTTTTGGAAATATAAACCTTGGGATCAGGAATAGCGGAGCAGCGAGTTTATGCTCGGGCTCTATAAAGATAAATAATGTACATTAAGTCTAAGCTTATAGTTGAGACTTCAATTCTATCGTACATGCTTCCGCATATGCCATATGTAGTCGCCTACGCGACCGAATTCGCCGTTGGGTGCGCGAATCTATGAATGCTGGATGGATCCTTCAAAACCCACGCGCAGCAGGAACTGCTCTTTCCAGAGAACTATCTTCAGCAGATACATCAACAGGAATTGTGTCCCCTTCCTGCCTTTCTCCGAATGGATCATAACTCTCTTGACCCTCTTGCTCCAGAGATCCATCCTCCGCAGAGACATCAACGGGGACGCGTTCTCCGCTCCCTCCGTCTTCGAATGATTCTATGTTCGCTTCAACGAGGACCCGTCTGTGCTCAGCGATCTGTTTCTGCAAAGCGATCTGTCGACGCAGTGAGGCATCTTTCCTCAGCTTCTTGTTGGCGGAGAATTCAGTAAGCGCCCTGACCATTCTCTCTTCCACCATCTCCTTGACATGAGCTGCGAGAGTGCGATCCGTAAATATACCCCCAAACCGGTAGCTTAACCAAGAATATAGGATGACAGATCTGTGTAGGCCTTCCAGCTCATGCAGATAGTCCTTGTTGCCAGACACCGGTTGTTCAAGAATTTCCAGATTCAAATCAGGAATATCCAGCAGCCCACCACCGGAATGCTCTGCAACACATTCGGCAAACGCGCAGGCAACGTTGCGTGATTTTCTGTCCCGAGTGTACATGGGCGCAGCCATAAAAGTTACTTGATCTTCTATAGGCAGGCCAACCACACTGTCTATAACTTCCGCATTATCGAGTTGACCGCGAGGGTCACACAGGAAAAACAGAGGATTGACTTCAGAGACTTCTAGCAGACGCTTGATAAGGTACTCAAAAGGAACGTCCCGCGGAAAATAGGCGGAAAACTTTTGGAAGACGGATTCAGGAGGGAAAATGCCGGCAGCGGTAAGCGGTGGTGGTTCAGTCTCCATCGCCTGGCGAATATACGGCAAATCGACTTCTTCCAGTGCTGTCACCAAGCCAGTATTTGACTCGACCTCGTTGGTATCTTTCTTATCTTGCTGCGCAGCCGAGCGATAACGGCCAGCCCGACCTCCAATCTGCTTGATCTCGGGAACCGAGAGGCTCACCAACCCCCCCGGGACCCTTTTAACCAAGGTCTCGAAGATAATGCGCTTGATACTCCTGTATCGTGGTTAGCAAAGCCCCATACGACAGTGTGCAAATCAGTGCTTACAAGTTAAGCCCCATCCCAATAGCATCACTCGCAACCAGAAAATCGTAATCGTTGTCGGGGTCATTGAAGAGTTTGGCCTGCTGCGTACGAATCTCTGCTGGCAAGCTCCCGTACACAATTGCCGCTCTTCTGCCTGTGACCTTTTCAATATCTGCTTTTAGCGCGTGGATCCCAACGCGGGAGAAAGCGACCAGGCAGTCTCCTTTCTGAAGATTCTTCAAATCGCCCCGAATACTCTCATCCATGACTTTAAGTGGGTTCAGTCGTTTGTACCGATGGATCTCGAGTCTGTCACCTGTGAGAGCTGCAAGCTCTCGAATCAGGGGCACGACTCTTGTTTCGCCACAAAGATGAAGTTCCTTAGCGCGTGCACCAAGGACAGCACGAGTCCAAGCCCAGCCACGTTTGGGGTCAGCGAGCATCTGAATCTCATCAATGACCCCAACGTCGTAGGGCTGTCCTAGATTGACCATTTCAACTGTGTTGCTGACGATATTCGGGGTTTGCCCCTCCGGTATCTTGACATCATCGCCAGTCACAAGGCTACAGGGGATCCCGCTCGCCTGAAATCGATGATACACCTCTTGCGCAAGAAGTCTAAGCGGCCCAGCGTAGAAGCCACTTTTGGAAACTTGAAGCCGTTGTAACGCATGGTAAGTCTTCCCAGAGTTGGTTGGGCCAACGTGCAGGTGAATTGTCCGTTGAAGCGCTCGGGCTTGAGGGTACCATTCTGCCGGATAGCGCAAATCTGCAATCTTCTTTTGCTGTTCCAGGAGGGGAGCAGAATACTTTTCAGTAATCTCTTCGGCGTGCATAAGATACTTCAGCTCACTCCTCAGACCCGAAATACCCGAACCGAGATAGGCTTTCTGAAGTGTGGTTTTGACATGCCGTAGAGGGCCAAAGGATTTCTGGCCCGACCGGTCTTCCAACTTGCAGGCGTTCATCACATAGCGCTCGAATCTTTCCCATCCTGCCAAGGCCGGATCTGACGACTCTGACAAGCTCTGCTTGTATTCTCCTAGCACGGATTCGACGATGGAGGTGAAGTCGCGAATGACAAAGGGTTGACTCAGAGGTTTACGGACGGGTGGCCTTTTTTTCGAAGACTATACGGCAAACAAATAAATCAGCAACCTTGTAAACAATGGAAGAGTACAAATGAGGGTATATTTTAGGTTCTGTTACGCTTTTCTTTAAAGATTCCTCTACTGCCTCGGCTTTTTCTTGCTTAGCTTTCTGAGCCTTTCTTGCCTTCTCCAAGATGGGGCTCGTCGAGAAGGATCGCTGCACGGGACGAAGTACAGGCTGCAAGGCACAGAAAAGGCAGCGGCTGCCTTTGCTGGTCCATGACTGCATTCCTTGAGCAAGATATAGCTTTGTACACGGGGACAGGCGACAAAAGGTGTTCGAAATCGAAGTTCAAGAACTGGCTGAGAAGCTAGGTAGCGTCGCAGCTGCACCGTCGCGGATCATACATATAGTAGTTAAATTGGAAGAACAGTAGGCAAAATATTCTCAATGACTTATGAGAGAAAGGTGATGGTTGTACTGATACCACGCAAACTTTGAGAATATTTGTAAAGATATCTTTTTTTTATCGCATGGCTTATCGAGATAATTACTGTTCAAAACTCCAGTCGCAAGAACCCACCGCCACACCGCATCGGCGATCCACCGCGGGTTTCATTCCATCCACCAGCGATTCCAGGCTTGCCGCTAGAGCGATGACGGATAGTGGGGACGCTGAGGGGGGTCCTGAAGTCGACTGATACGTTTCAGAAAGATAGGCTTCGGCTTTGACCATTTCAGTTGACTTTGGCTTCTGTTGTTCTTTGTGAACTGCCACTTACTTTGTTTCCCTCCTGACAATCCAGATTGTCGCAGGAAGCTGCATTTACCACGACTGGAGCCGGCAATCGCCAGCTTGTCTGCACAGCTAAGGCTGCCAGCTGGCCAGGATGAGCTCTTCAATTATCAACATCCAACGCGATGGTCAGTTTCATGATCTATGTCATTAAGGCCAAGTATGGGTTTTTCTGTTACTGACTGTTTGCTATTACAGTTATCCTTAACACGATTCGTCATGCGGGAGGCAATGAAGTGCGATTAGCCCCTCTCTACAGTATACCATGATGTATGACGGAGCTGACGGTTGCCCCTTGCAGTGGAAAGTCTTGGTTGTGGACGAGACTAGCAGAAAGTTGATATATAATGCGACCAATGATGATGATATCCTCAACCTCAATGTCACCAGTAAGCCTATACACGACGCTTCAATACATAAGCGCATCAGCTAATAGTCCTTTTCTCAAGATGTCGAGCAGATCGAGCATAGGCGACCACCCAACCCTGACATGGATGCGCTGTACATCCTGTCACCTCAAACACACATCGTCGACTGCCTAATGGCCGATTTCGAGCGCAAGAGATACAGGCGAGCATGGTTGGTCTGGACGTCAGGTCAGTCGTTCGTTCTGATCGGAGACTGAACAGCGTAATCTGACATTGTCTGCAGTCCTCGATCCACAGCAGCGCGCCAGACTGGACAGGTCGCAGATGGCGCGCGAACAGATTGCCGATTTTCGAGTCATGAATATAGACTTCTTTCCAAGAGAATCGCGTCTAGTGACTTTCCGAGATCCCTGGAGCTTTCCCGTTCTGTTCCACCCTGGCTGCAATCATCTGATTCGAGGACACTTGCAAGATCTAGCGCAGAAGGTGACTCTTCATCATGAATCTTTCTGAGCACTATACTGACTCGTGTTGAGGTTGTGTCACTGTGTGTGAGTCTAGGAGAGTACCCGATAATCCGATACTATCGGCCTAGGACACCTACCCACGAAGCCAGCGTCTTGTGCTCCCACCTCGCTCGATTCATTCAGAACGAATTGGACCAGTTCGCTCAATCTCAGAGAGACTTTCCTCCTCCTTCGCCGAGGCCTCGCGGTGTTCTTTTGCTGGCGGACCGCTCTATGGATATGGTTGCCCCTCTCATCCACGAATTTACCTACCAATCAATGGTACATGATTTGCTACCCCTAAAAGACGGGGACAAGGTCACCTACTCCACTGTTATCAACTCTGGCAGTGGGAGTGAGGAGAAAAAGGACATGGAGATCAATGAAGAGGACAATGTTTGGGTTGAATATCGGCATCAGCACATGAAAGATGTGTTGGAGAAGCTGGGTCAAGACTTTGCAAAATTCAGGGAGGCCAATCCTCAGTTCGCGGAAGAGTAGGTGGCGTCTGAATTCTTTCCTCTGACCTATAGCTTTGTCTATGATTCATTGC